TTTTATTTATTTTGGCTCAGTTTTATGGTTGTCTGAGCTCAGTTTATTTCCTTGTGTTTCAAGGGATGAAAGATTTTTTTATTGGAAACTGGATTTCCTTTGCATCCTAATAGGGCCGCCTTGGATGTAATTGGAATCCTGGATTTCCCTTCTAAAATATAGTAAGAGTGACTTGATTATAATATTCTGCTCATCATAGCTTCAGATGGTGTTTGAACTGTCCAGTGATTTGAAGTTTCAGAGTTCTTAAGTATGAGCTTTGGCGCATTGCTCCCTTTTAGTTGTATATATATAATTTTTTTTAGTTATTCTCTTAGTTTGATTTTGTTTTCTATTTTTTTTCCCCTAGATTCATTTGTTATGTTGATTAGGCTTTGGTTGGTGCTGAAAAATGGAGATGGTAAGTGGAAAAAATGTTGAACTTTATGAGTTGTGTTCCTTTGGTTTCTTTCTGGACTATGAAAGCTTTAACTCCACAAAGAGGAAAACTCAGGTGGGCAATTCTGTAATATAATTTTCCAGATTGATGCTTGAAAACATTGCCTGACAAGTTTATCATCAGTGCTACTCCGAATTGGAGTTTCTAGGATAATTTGATAAGCCTATTTATTATTTTTTCATGGTTGTCAAAAATTCAGCTTTAGAAAACTAGATTGCTATAGAGTAGTCACTTGTGGAGATTTTTCAATACTTTCCAAAGTAAAACTCAGAAGAGTAAAAATTCTTTATTTTCTCAAACAAAAGGTTTATATTGCCACTGATTTGAAGAAGATTCCTAAGAAGCAAGTGCATTCTACGTCATCATTTCTATCCTTTTGAGTTTTTTCTTCTTCTGATTGAAAATTTTGGTTTGTCATTTCAAAATTGTATTTGGGAGAGATCTAAAAAGAATGTAATATAAGGGTGCCTTCATTCTGTGTATCAGAGATTAAGTTCCAATTTTCTCTGATCCCATCATATATATTTGTCTTGAAACTCTGAATTTTTCTGTTCTGGTGGAACCGTAAAGTTAAAATGAATTCATGCTCACTATCAACTATTCTTTATAAAGAATGGATTATCAATTTAGTTGAAATGATTAACATTGCAAAATAGTGCTTGGAGTTGCATCTTGTGGGCCTCAGTTACAAACTCAAAAGACTGAATATTTTTGTGGCGTTTGTAGGGTTGCTAAAATGGTATATCTCCAGCAAGATTTGTGGACTTTGTAACACTTTTGGATCAATTTGCCACTTTGTGTCCTTTCTGTTCTGATCTCTACCTGGGTTGCAAAGGCTCTTCTAGTATTGGTGGCTTAAACCTTTTTGACAAGGTTCATCAACAACTTAAACTGCTGCTGAGATTGATGATCACCCAGTACCATTCTATAGGTAACTTCTCTTCAGGCTGTCATTAGGCACCAATGGACCACCATGACCTCCATTCTCCTGAACAGCAAGATCTTCTAGGGAGGGCAAGTAGCATACCTGATAGTTCTGGAGCAAATGCTGGATTTGAGAAGCAGTTACAAGACTCTGATCTTGATATTAGGGGTTGCAAAGTAACAAAATTGCCAGAAATAGAAATAAAATGCTTAAGTTTTGGTAATAGTTCCACTACTTGTAGCAAAGAAGATGCAGGTGATATGAAGAAAACATGTTCTCTTGTTACTACCTCTGGAGATTCAGTTATAATCAATCAAAGTTGTTCTGGAGGAGCTCTGATGGTGATGTCTCCATGCAACATGCCTGTAAATGAAGGAAATGCAGATGGGAATGCTTTTTGCCAAGCCCCTGAAGTGGTGGATTCAACACAAAATACTTCCATGAGGAGTGAATCTAGCTCAGAAAGTGGAGAAGATCTGAAGAAGCAAAACAGTGAGTTGGTAAATGGTAGGATGACCAATTGTTTCCTAAAAAATGGTAGAGGCAGATTGAAGTGTATGGTGCAGGACAATTGTCACACTAAGCAACATAAAACTGAGTCTTCCTCTTCTAACTCTACAAATGTTATTTTTCCAGCTTCTCCAAATGACAGCTGCCAGGATATATCAGCAGATGCCAGGTCATCAAAGTGCCACAATACTGGTGCTGATACTTCCACTTATAATAACTTAAAGTGCTATGTGGACGACTCTTGGGGAAAAAGTTCTGCATTAGGTTTGGCCACCCAAATTTCTCCTGGACATGGGCCTGATAATATCTTTTTACCCTGGAAACATGGGAATGTGGAAAATGCCTCGGAAGTTGTCGACAATGTGGGAGCAAGAAATCATGACAGTAAGCTGGTAGTGATTGCAGACTGCAAGCCTGTCCTTGTAGAGATAGATAGCATCCTGAAATCTAATCTGCCTACATTAGAAAATGCAATTCCTGGTAACCATGATAAAGGGGAGTGTTCTTCTGAGCTGGATGATGCACTTGAGGTGGCACAGAGGGTAGCAAGGGAAGTGGAGCAAGAGAGAGCCTCAGGAAACTCTTGTGTTCTAGGGAGAAGCAGCAAAACTCTGCATCGAAATTGTGCTGATTCTAGAGTTCCATATAAAGAAAATTGTGTTGGGGAATCTGGATGTAGAACACCATTTTACACGGAAGGTAGTAATTATGAGAAAGAGGTGGTTGATCAAGAAATCCCACTGTGGGAGAAACCACCATACTTCAATATTAGAGGGCCTGCACATGACTTTGGGCTGAAAGTGGCACCTGAAGCTAATCACAAACAGCAATCTACTCTAATTACAAAATCTGAAGATCTAGTTGACAAAGATGGAGCTATTTCTACTTCTGATTTTGATCTTAATGAGGATGTGGCAATGGAAGCAGAATGTACTGAGCTGTTGGTCAAAGAGACAGTTTCTCACAATGTGCACGGTGTCTTTAAGCCAAAACCTGTAATGTCTGAATCTGGGAAGCTTGTCTCCCTACCTGTGGTTCAGTTACATGACATTGGTGGCTGGAAGGGACCTGCTGCAACTAGTGCTTTCCGATTGACTTCTGTTTCTGAGAGTTTTGGTGACATTAAGACTTCATCTGCTGCCGACAAACATAACAACTCTAAAGATTCATGCATTAAAGGGATTGACCTCAACATTGCTTCTGCAGGAGTTGATTTTGACATGGACTTGGTCCCTGGGAAATCTATCCCAGCATCTTCAAGTCTCCCTCCTAAGGAGGCAAGCTCAAGGCAAGCAGAAAGGTTCAGCATTGACCTCAACTGTGCTAATGAAAATGAAGACAATTTTCATCAAATGAATCCACCAGCGTCACTGAGGAGACTCCCTATTAGAAATTTTGATTTGAATGACAATCCAACCTCAGAAGATACATTGACAGATGCTCACGAGCCAAGTCAAGGTGTGCTAACATTGGGAAACGGTGCAGTTTCTTTTTTAGGAAAGGCAAGGCAGCAAGAATCTAATAATTTAGGATCAGAATTCTGGGCAGATCCAAGTCCCATGCAGGTCTTTAGACATGTTCATGCTCAACCCTTTCTGTTGGCTGTGCCCAATATGCTTCCCTATAGTGAACACATGCAGGGGATAGTTCCTGTACAAGATGAGTCATCTTATAAACCGACCTTGCCACCACCACAATCTCCTCTTTCTTGGCCCAATCCAAATGCATTCTGCATTGACCCTAGCAACCACCTTTCTCCAGCTGTATATTCTTCTGGTATCATTCCTATTGTAACAGAGCAAAATGGGCCTACCGTCTTCCCTCAGGTATTAGGTTCCAGCACTCACCCTGCCTTTTCTGGAGCCTCCCAGTTCACACAGATACCAGGTGGGCTGGGGCCAAATAGCCTTGCAACCATAAGACCATGTTTTGATCCAAAGAACAGGGTCACTTTGGAGAATAGAAGCAAGGAAGAAAGGGGCGGGCGACAGTTTATTCCTGTTAGTAATTCAGTGATGGAAGACCAGATTAGACCTTTCCAATCAGTCACCTTTTCTGGTACAGCAGTGAAAAGAAGGGAGCCTGAGGGAGGATGGGATTCTCACCAGCATGGCTACAGACAGGTGACTTATTGGCACTAGGTTCCTGCAGGTTTGGGAAACAATTTAACTGCATATACTTCTTACTACCGTAGTTCAAATGTTTTACTTGGCTACAGTAGTTTGGCAAGTCAGACAACTTTTGGGGTTCCACAGATTAAGTCGGAAATACATATGTTATTATTTATTGCTTCTGCCCAGTTTTGACTTAAATGTCATTTTATTCACTTCCAACAGAATCTACAAAGATTTATGTACATACGACATATTGGACATTGGTGGTGGACTAGTAAATCTTCAAATTGAAAAATGACATAAACATTGTTTCTGCCAAATTAGTGATTATCTTGCTTAGACTTAGCAGTTTGGATGCAGATAACAAACCTCTGTGTGTTGTATGCTTGCTGGTGCATTCCCTTTTCACCTCATAATTTTCATATGCTTTCATACTCAGAAGTTGGTATTTTTTCTTTCTTCTGGTTTTCCTCTCATTGCTGCTTAGATGCATATCAAGGTAGTGGATGTATATGATACGAATATATGATCCACACAAATCCTGCTGTGGATAAATCTCTACCCTTGTTACCTGTAATGGCAGTCACTTAATAATCTATTCAGATGGTTCGCTATTCTTTTTCAAGTACGCATATTGTGGTCTTTTTCTTTGGCCTAGTCTGATATGGGTTAGAGAAGGTTCCAGTCCAAGACTCTGGGTCTGGGGTGGGCAATCAGATCTGTAGGGCTTAGTAGAAGGTCTAGGTGTAGTTTCCTTTCCCTGTAACAGACTCTGGAGAAAGTCTAGCTTCCCCAGGTTAGAAGATCTCCCTCCCTCCTCTTGTGTGACTAAAGCCACTAGGGCGCCTTCGTTTTCCATCTCATCTTAGACGGCGAGGGAGGGGTAGAGGCGGACGGCCATGGGCTGTCATTTCGTGCTGTAGTGGTTGATTGTGTCGCATTGGAGTCTAATATATAGGAGCTTAATGAAGATTTTGGGGATCTGGTGGTGGTATTGAGATGATAAAAGTGAAAGACAGGATTTTTTGAGGTACTTTGCGAAAGGAAGAGGAACAGAGAGCTTCAACTATAAAAAAGGGTAATTAATTTTTATTTTGAGACAAGTTCAGTCTATTTGAACTTTTATTTTCAATTCTTGCATATTGATGATGAATTTATATTAATTATTGTAAATCATTAGATTGTGAATCTGGACTTTTTGTTAATTTTACATGATTTCTGTTAAGTTTTCAGCTTATTGTCCATTAATTTTTGGTCCAGTCAGGTTATTGTACTGATTGAATATGGTTTTGTTAGATGGGTACTTGAAAATCAAGTTCGTGGTCAATTTACTCTTCAAGTGGACAGAACTTAGGTTTGCTTTAACTTGGTAAGAGATTTATGGATAGCAAACATATATCTCCTGAATTTCAGATGCAAGCTTTTTAAAATTTATCAGGCAACTTGAAATTGTATAGAATGGAAGAAAGGAATAAAAA